ACACAGGGATATAATCCCAGTATCCTACGATTAGATGGGAATGTCAACTTGAGAAACGAAAGGAGTGTGTTTTTCGCATTTCGAGGGGAAATAAAGGCAACGGTGCATTCTCACACCAGCGGTTACGACTTAAGCCGAACACAGAGCCTCAAAGAATGAGGCACAATGTGGGTGGGGGCGAGGGAGAGGTAATTGAGTCACGGGTATACAGGCGAACAATGATTTTGATTTATAGAGGCCACACCATCTTGGTCTTCATTTGTTCAAGTGATTTTGATGTCTAGCAGTGACCAGTTGACAAGCGAGTAGGAAAAAAGAGGAGTAGAGGCCCTGCAAACGGCATTTAGTACCGGTGGTGGAGATGAGTACGCTTCACTAAATCCATTTGTAGCGATACACTTTTGGGTGACATTGTAGAAAACGATAGCACTGGAAGACTGTGGCCGACCAACTCGGCTTCCTCTATACGGCCAGTGGCCCTCTAGTCCGCTCCTCTTAGAGAACATAATTCGGAAGCAGACTCAACCAGCAAATTCTGTGACAGTCTCAGCCTCACCCCATGACGCAACGATAAGGATTGTTTGAACAGAGCAATGATTGATGCGAAATGGCTTTATGACTCCAATCGTTTGCGCCCCTTTCATCCAGTCATTCGTATTGACGAGGATGTCAACCCTCCTTGCTTTACCTCCATCAAGAGACTTTGCAATCATTCATCTAGTTTAGCGTTCGTTCCCTAATTGTAGTGCCATTTTGCTCTCTGATTTTTTTGAGCAGACTGTACCTTGAAATTGGCTTTATATTTTTAGCTAAACCAATATGTGAACATACTTAAATTTGACTTTTCACTTAGCATCATAGAGGTTGTTAAAGCATCAGAATTTTGGAAATATCTTTTGCATTTCCATTGTTCATGGCTAGAAGAATCTGCTAGAGCTAGCCTGCTTCCCTATCGTCGTCTTTGCTAATTAATAAATATGTAAGATCAAGATGGTGTGGTGTTGAGTATGGTCGCAGTCTCCTTTCGATGTATATAAGTAGCTGGTTCGCGTTTTCGCAATTTGATCGTGTTGTCAGGGCAATTTAGTTGGACACCTTTTCCGAAGTCCTATTCTATATTAGTTATCATAGTTCCCCGTCCATATTAATGTCCTTCAACATGTCACATGAGTTTCCATTGATCTTCATAGTTGGGTCCTTCGTTAGTCCACGATGTTTTGTTCTGTACATACATACAATCTTCTCAGTATATTGTTTTTGTTCACTATCACTGTCGCTCACCCCCTTAACCGCCTTAAGGACTTATTGTCCATTCATTTATAGCGCTTTGGGTATCCTAGTAAATCTGTTCCTGTGTGTTGGTTCCTAATGTATCAACATCCTTGGAATTAGTTCCATCTCAATTTTCTGTTTTTTATCTTCAGGGATTACCTAATATATACAAATAAGGCGAATCTCTAAGACTTATAATCAACAACAATTATGGAGCAAAACACAAATTAACAAAATTCATATGCTTGAAAGTCAAGAAAGTAAATGGCAGGTTATCAAACACGGCGAGACGTTCATATCGATATTTTTTCTAAAGATAAATACTTTCAAGGAATAAAAGTTGTCTATTGATGAAGTGCCGGAAGTTAATCATTTGTTCGTAGCTGCTGTTTAGCTTATCAATGAAGGTCATCTCAGAAAGAGCGTACACCGATGGGCGATATATATTTTGGTTACTAACAATCGAGATGACCACTTTAAATCCAATAGAAAACTTGATTTTGTAGAAGGAACTCTTTTGCAAATGCATTAAAAAGGCGCTTTCTTATCCTGAGTGGAATTTACTTTTTAATCTCGTTTATCTCAACATTTTTATATAGTATTCGGACCATTGCATCAATACTATTCAAGTTAATCAGATTTTAGATATGAAGACCAAGATGGTGTGGCCTTTTGTTTGGTCGCAGTCTTCTTTAGCTTTATAGTCTTAGTCCGACCTTAATTTCATTCCCTACAAGTTGCGAAAACAAGGTCGAATCAACACTATAAATCAGATGTTATTCGGACGCCAAGATAAAATAGCGAAAAATTATCTTCACGAATGCTGCCGTCAGTCAAAGGCCAAGTTTCGAAGGGTAATTAACGACAGCATAAGAATGAGTAAGGCAGCTTGGGTCTCCTCAGCCGTATATAATGCTTTTGTGTTTAAGGATGGAGTTGATTTTTGTAAATAAGTTGCAAAGATATATACCATTTGCAAAAATCATCCAAAATTTATAAGGATTAAAATAAATAAATAAATATTATTTTTTATAACTACTTATAAAAGTAGTATGTTTATATCGCAAGAGAATGCTCAAATCAAGGAGTCACGTACTGTCATAT